AATGGCTGGACTCTTTTGGATAGTTGAATAACTTCGGTGAATTATCGTACGGCTAAGATATTCAATGGTGCAATTAAGAAAAGAAATTTAATAATCACACGACGTTTCACCTGACGAATCGGTGGAAGTCTCACAGTTTACTGGCCAGTGGTACGTTCAATTTTTTCCTGAAAGCCGCGAGTCGCGCCGAGATGCGCACGCACCTGAGAGCCGCGAAGCATGACGATATTTCACTGCGCATGCGTAATATTCTTCTTTTTCGTAAAAATCATCAGAAAATTGTTTACTATATTAACGTGATAAAGTAATAATAATTAATGATATCTTTTTATTGTAAATATATAATTAAATATATTAGGAATGGTGAGTTTCGTTTAATATGTATAACCATGTATATATTAATTATACTATATTTTTTAGATGATATAATCATCATGCAAAATATGATATTATGTAACATATCTGCTATCTTACGTTTGTACTTCCATAATTAACTCAATGTTATCCGATCAAATTCTGTTTATTCTAATTTCATTGTTATTTTGCAACATGTTTCTCCTTATGAACACTAGATGTCGTTAAAACATCTTCATTTTATAACTTGGAGAGATGTGAAACAGATTGCAGGCTTCAGGCGAAAAGCGACGGATCGATGAAAAGCTACTTTTTGTTTTTATAAAAATCAAATATTGAAATAAACACATATAAAATAAATTATTCATGAGGAGTGCTTAAAATAAAAATGGCAATGATATAGTTTAAAATTTAGAAATAAAGAATTTACATCAGATATTGAATAAATTTATCTCGATGAAATTAATAGTCGACGGAAACCTTTGATCTGTAGTATTTAATGTTAATTTACATCGGATGTTGAACAAATTTATCTCGAATAAAATTAATGGACGATGAAAACCTTCAATTTGTAGTATTTAATGTTAACGCGTTATTAACCGGTCACGAATAAACACACGTTTGTACATTCATGCACAAACATTGTCACGAATAAACTTATCCTTTTATGCACAAGACTTAACTTATTAGATTTATACAAGATAGTCAGTGGCACACGTCAAGTTTAGCATAAAATAACCGGTCTGGTTAAAAAAATGCTTTTAGTAGAAGATAAACATATAGATAAACGCGCTTACTAATCCGCTAAGGTAATCTAAAATTTGCGCGCGCATTTATGGTGGTTCTCATGGTGGCAGCCATATTAGGAAATTATATACCTAGTCTATCCAATATGATGTCATAAAGTAAATAAATTTGGAAATCAAAATACTTAACTCAACAGCGTTAGAGGAATATAGAAGCTTAAGTTGAGAAATCAAATTCCATGAAATGTAAAACTAAAATAAAAATTCCTTGATGTAATTTTGAATAGAATGATCCAATATCGTAAACATAGAACAACACCATAGAGGTAATTGTAAACGCAAAGATTAGCATGTATGTTCCCCGTTTATGACATTACAATTATTTCATAATTTTAATTGATTACTTGTAATAATTTTAATTTGTAAGTTTTTATTTTCTATAGCAAAAACTGTCTATCGTGTACAACAAAGTAAAATATACTAAACACAAATTGCAAGGATAATTGCGATTAGAATAATTGGCAATCGTCCAACTTAGAAATACGTACGTATGTATATCGTAAATCACAAATAATTATATTCGACATCTGATTTGTATTTGAAGAAGATCGTTAAGGCGGGAGAATTTCAAAGTAAATAAACGCGTAACAGTATTTGTAAACCATTCTATTTCAAGGTTTTCGTATACCACCATCACCTTATATAAATTTGCTTTATAGAAACCATATGAAGCCCTACATTAGGTCCAAAAATAAAGTACTGTCTATTAGTAGAATAAAGCAGTTTCTGCTTAGGTAATTTTTATTATTGATCGATTATCACTAGTTTTATATAACAACAGAAGTTCCTGTATCTATTATTAATAGATTCGGTCACGTAATAAACGACTTATTAATTACAGTGATGATACACGCCTATATAACGATATGATAACTTATTCATCCAAAAAAGTTTTCGAGGTTCCTTCCTCTCGACTCGACCCTGACAGGAAGGATGCGCGTAAAGTATCATCTTCGGTGCTCGGTGCTCGCCTCTCAGAAGTTGAGCGAGAAAAAAAATGTTTTATAAAGCAGGCCTGCACATATCAGCGATACGTGATTTGTTTGTGAACTGCTTGTTAATAGACCCCGTAAACACATCACACTTCGTATTCCATTACACCTATATAAACCACTACTATTCATCGGCGAGGGTTTAGTTGGCCGATTACTTTAATCGTGTAGTGAGTGTAGTATGTGAAGAGCGATTCGTTTTATTTCATGTTACAAAGGATTATGATATTCCTATGGTGTTCTTAGAGGTGAGCGAAAAATAGTTTTTAAAATCATCATAAAAATGTTTATCACGATATGATAAACTTAACGAATGTAATAAATAGACAACGGATATTTGTGCAAATCAATACTTTTACGAACCCTATTAAAGAGATGAAATGTAAGCAGGAATTTACTCGAATATACATAACAAATACTCTTCTGCAGATATTTTATATACTTCTGCATTTTCAAATCGTCTGTAACTGCATAAAAATCCGCGCTCTATTTACTAATACAGGAGTATCAGCATCGATTAAAATAAATGAATATGTATTGTAATCGTGTTTATTTATTGTTGTGTAAATAAATTTCAATGGAATCTTATATGTCATCGGTAAGAGTAAAGAGTGTTTCGACCATGTGCGTTCCCCTGATTCTACTGGAATTTCATATTATGTACTTAATAAGAATGTGTCTTTTCATATGACGCGGTAGCGAAGAAGTACAAGGAATCGACGTGTTGATAAAACCAATAACTTTACATAGCTAACGAGATAATGACATAATGCATACGTAGGTAAAAAGAAAATATATTCGTAGGGATGAAATTAAAAGTTTACGCGACATACGATGCAAGGTATGACGTATTCAAAATACATTATGGACTTTGAGCAAATCTTGAGTGATCCAGGAATCTGGTGGGAGCAGATGCTTAAATAGGATACGCCGGAGTTCCATGTTGCAGTCTCAAACACACATTTTCTCAAAAAGTATTTCACTGCATCGATAATATAAGAAATTATACATCTAAAACAATATGGTCGTTACAGCTCAACAAATAGTAAGTGACGACAAGTATTCTGTTATCGAGTTTAGTGATTAAAATTCCGTGAAGTTCGGTTTTGCGCAAGTTAGTTGTAAGGAAACGTACGGAATACGGTTTTGTGCTGCGAATACTTACGCGCATTTTCAATTATTCATTCAGTTACTCATTGTTACTATTATCGTTATAATAAGAATGCGAATCGTTATACAGATTCGTACTTTCGCTAACACAAATAGGAATGCAGGACCAAAGAAAGAAACGAAAAAATTCACCTGCTGAATATTATTTTCCGCGCTTTTACATGTTGTACGAATCCACCTGTTGAGTACTACTTTATGTACTTTTGCATTTTGCAACAGCCTTGTGTATTCTTTTACCCTCGAGTTTTCTAAGTACATAAAAATCTGTAGTCTAGTTATTATTATCGTAATTTATTTCTGATCGCAGTAGCTTATTTTTTGTTGTCATACATTGTTATTCGACTGGCATGTGCACGTAGACAATAACACGTTTCTATGAACCAATTAATAGAAGACCCAGCTTGAATAGTCAATGAACGTGATAAAATAACCGAACAGATGTCTGTATTAAACGGTTTTCGAATGAACATGTGTAACTCTCATCGTTTTACAATTTTAATCCTTAAGATACGAAAAATCAACGATGTACGTTGACAAGTTTATTAATATAAAAAAAAGATATAATATCTTAAAATGACTGAATGTCAAACTAATTGTAGTCTATGATCACTGATACAATGCTTTATGTTAATTTGAAAATATTTTAGCCTGTCATTGACCAGATAGTTAGGCAAAACTTATTTTAGAATAGAGCAAATGCATATACAGTTACAAGCATATTGCAAGACGATGCCTGACACGTTCTCTAAGAAGTTAGTTTCTTTTTCACTTTGACAGTCGAAAATAGATTAACTACGGTGTGAAAATATAATAGGTGCAACATTTTAAAAATAGCTGGTACGTCATTTTTATTTTGAAAAGTGGCGAAAATAATGTTAAAAGAAAATATAAACATTAAATATTGAATATACTTTACACTTAAATGAATCTTTAGTTTCGATTTTAAACTTGAACTTTATAAGGATTAACTTGTTACAGAAGTTAATGATAGAATGCGCGCATTTTTTTTTTGTTTCACTAGTGGGAGCATACACCGGGTGAGGCATGGATATACCTCGTCATTTTGACCAGCATTTATATTTTATACATACTGAAAAATTATATCAGATGTGTCATTCATGTTTCTCGACTGAACGGCCCGAAAGCTGTACCGATTATTGGAAACGTAAACATTGCTCTTGAAGAAAATTGTAAGTCACTGATACTCGGTTTAAACGAATTTTGAGAGATTAATAAATTAACGTAGAAGATAAATTTGCTAAATAAACGATCAAAGTAAATAAAGTACAAAATATGTTTATTAAGTTAATGATAAAAATATTAAATTAAATTGTTATGTAAATTTCAGTCCTTTATAGATTAGCCAATGAAAGTAAAATTTATGGACGTTTTGTTAAAGTATGGGTGACAATATTGCCATACGTGGTGCTTCTGGAGCCAGAAGATATCCAATTGGTGCTCGGTAGTACGAAGCACACGCGCAAGGTATTTTTCTACAAATTGCTAGATAATTTCCTTGGGAAAGGTTTGATTACAAGGGACATGGAAACCTGGCGGGTCCATCGAAAAATTTTACAACCTGCTTTTCATCTTCATATTCTCGAGAAATTCACGAATATCTTCGCGGAGCACGCAGATAGCCTGATGAAAAAGTTTCTTGAAAAGAAGGACCAAGAAATCAATATTACTACTTTCATTAATGATTCCGTTTACAATATCTTGAGTGGTAAGTAAAGACGTGTTTAATGTTAAATTATAAATGAAGACGTTAAGTGATGCGAAAATATAAATTAATTCTTTCTCCATAAATTTCATAAATAGCTGTTTACTTATCTCTTCCTTTCGACGTCTTTTGTAAATTGTAAATATATTTTATAATTACAATTAATATATAAAAATATATAATATAAATGTATAAAATTTGAAATTATAAATATTCCATTCTTTTATCAAATATACTATTACAGACGATATCTTCTCTTCCATTGTCATAATTGTGTTCCTGATAAGGTTTACTAACAATTAATAATTACAAGGGCTATCGTATTATTTCGTATTCAAATGAAACGTACATATTTTACATTATTCACGATCATTAATCTTTTGTCATATACTTTGTTATTTGCGAGTAATTATACAGAAGCATAAAATTTGTACTTGGAAAAGGTGATACTTTGTGAGGTCGTCTATAAATTATGTCTTATTCAATTTGCATAATTCCATGCAAGTGCATTTTGCGCATAAGTTGCACAGTCAATAATCTCTTGGTGGAAGCATTCATACCCTTTTGGAAAATATCGTGAATAATTCGCAAAACTTTTATTTATTTTATATCAAATATTCGGTAATACTTTCTTACGATCATACAGTGATAATATATGGCAAAATCCTTTAAATTAAAAAATCGCTAATATATTATGGTCTATTATTAACATTCTACTAGACTCTTAAAATATTGCACAACATGTAAAATACTAAAACATTGTCATATATATTAATATTATCCGACTTGCTATACTTGTTGGTATATTGCTGAAAAGATTTTTATTGTTAATAGCGTTGACAAACTTTTTATTCGATGTGCAAACAAAATGCAAATTTCTTTACCTGAAAAGCAGATGTCTGGCGAAGTTCTCAATATCAATTAACATATGAAATATATTTTAAGTTAATCCAGTATCCAGAGTTAGCGAACGAGTCATAAGTTCTCATTGAAAAGCTTCTTACTGCTGTACAAATATTTTTGAGCGTATATGTATTTTGAACGTTGCGTTTTATTTCTTGGAATGACCCTGCAATATTTGAAGTAATTATTAACTGTTTGCAGAAACAGTTTTGGGAATAAACCAGAGGACCAGCAAAATGGACGATCTGCCTTTCCGAAAGTGAGAATCGAAGATGCATGTTTTTATATTTTTCCAACGCTAGAACATACGATAATCTTTGTTATCAATTAGCGATAGAGACAAATAATGTAGTATGTCTGAATTTTCGTTCCAGGGGACAAATTATGCTTCTATACCGAATGATGAGGCCTTGGCTATTAATGGAATGGATTTACCGATTAACGAAGTATGGTAGAGAAGAGCAAAAACAACGAAACGAGTTATTCGATACTTGTTTTAAAATGATGAAAGAAAAACGCGAACTTTTACGAAATAAAAAGTGTGAACCTGATGATCAGACAGAAGAGACAAGAAAAATGTCTTTGCTGGAATACATGGTGGAAATAAACGAAAAACATCCTTGCTTCTCCGATAAAGACATCGTCGAAGAATGTTGCACGTTTATGTTAGCTGGGCAGGATTCGGTTGGCACCGCGACTGCGATGACGCTCTTTCTTTTAGCCAACAATCCTGAATGGCAGGAAAAATGCATAGAAGAACTCGACCGAATTTTCGACGGAAATCCAAAATTGCCTACGATAAACGATCTGAAAGATATGAAATGTTTAGAGATGTGCATCAAAGAATCATTGAGATTATATCCTAGTGTACCGATAATAGCCAGGAAACTAGGCGAAGATGTGAAAATCGGTATAACCTGAATCTTTTTTCTTTATATAAAATTGAAGAGTTTTCTGAAACGACGATCTATGACCCTACGATACCTTCTACTCAAATAGTTGAATCATTATGAAACTTTTATTTATTTTGTAAATGATAGAAAGAAGCAAAGTTCAAGCATAGCTAAGATTAACAAAACTTCCAACGCAATTTAGTCGGTTCATTATTTTGTCTTAGAAGCTCTTTTTCCAGAAAATTTCTTCAATTATTACGCTTAATTTAAACGATACAAAGCTATCTCCTCACCGATCTCAATGTTCTTAGAATGTGTTGTTGTAAATGTTAAGGTCCTCGCTACGAACAACTTTTTTCTCAAAAATATGTTTCTTTGGTATCATATGCCTTATGAATTTTAACGCGATCTTTTTTAGCTTTCACAGTGATGTATAAATAACCAATGAAAAAAAAACAATAAAAATTCCAGTCACTAAATTCCAAATGGAAGTAGGAAAACAGTAAATAGGGTTAAGCTATTTAAGTGGTGGCGCTCGCGTAGGAAACACGGTTATAATTTGGACGTGCACTCGCATACATACACCATAATTATAATATCTAACATACAATTTTTTATAAAATATAGGAAGAGGGTACACATAAACATGTTTTAATATATAACTTGAAAATTAAGACCGAGCATCCATTGTATGTATAGGAAAAAGTTGTTCGGAATGATGATTCACATATTCAAATCGAAATCGGTGAGAAGATGCCTATATGACAGTTTCACTATTATTAGTAATATAAAACGTCTTTACAAAATTTTAAATTACTGTATAACATCAATGCGCATTTTAGGAAAATATGTGATACCAACGGGTTGTAGCGTGTTAATATCCCCATACGCCACTCATCGTTTGCCGCATCATTTTCCAGACCCTGAAGCATTTAAACCTGAGCGTTTCGATACAGAAAATTCCGAAAAGAGGCATCCTTACGCTCATATACCTTTCAGTGCTGGTCCAAGGAATTGCATCGGTATGAAACAGCTTTTTAAAAAACTGGCGTTACTATAAATTTTAATACTTTTTATTTAACTAAATCATTTATTCGTTCAGGTTATAAGTTTGCAATGCTCGAAATGAAATCCATGATTTGCGCAATTCTTAGAAGATGCAGATTACAATCGGTCCCTGGAAAAGAGGTGATACGACCGAAATTTAGAATGACAATCAGAGCGCAAGGAGGGCTTTGGGTAAAAGTTATTGTACGCGATGAGACGCCAAAAAATGTTGTGATATAATTGTAAATTATTGTTTTAATATATTTAATTGTGTAACAATCAGTATATCAGTTAAAGAGGCCTTTTTTAAATTTTGAATAATTTGACGAAATAATGACATTAAAATCATCCTTTAATGATACAAAAGCCTACCATAAAAGTCATTTACATTTTTATTTAAAGATTGAATATGTAAAAGAAGTAAAAATATGAACAAATATTTAGTAAGTGTTAGGTAAATAATTTTTTAAAGTACGGTCTTCAATGTGAATACTATGAATCATATGTATGTATTTTATTTAGATGTACGTTGAATAAAAATGAAATTTAACATTTATTTTGTAAATAGGATTGGAAATTAAAAATAAAAATCATAAAAAGAGAAATCTCATTAATTAAAAATGCTTAATTAATATTGAAACATGTTTAAACATATGTATATTATACATGTATTGTATAATATAATACTTCTGAAGTTAACGCTACTTCGTTATTGGTGCTTCTGTATGACGTGGTCTTAGAACGAACTGTCAAAGTACGAAACTCGCAGTTGAAGTTATGTTTACATAAACGTGATTAAGCACTATTTTATAGCCGAAATAGATATAAAAACAAATTAAACAATATCTTTTATAAAATAATCGTGAAACATGGTTTACGTATCAAATGGTAATGAAGCTAACATGAGTGAAATTTCTAACATTGTATAATGAAAATTTTTTATAAATATTATATATGTAATTAAAGCGTTTGTTGTAAATACAATCATAATTAATAAATTTTCAGATGGAAACGTCTTATGTGGTACTCCATTGCATTTAAAAGTGTTTAGATTTTTCACAGGTATAATTTTCATGGTTATAATGTTGTAAGTAACCTATAACATTTCCTATGATTTATTAAATTGATAAGGAAGCAAATGCGTAATTGAATAAATTATTTTTATAGTTTTAGAACATTAATCAATCCTAATATGAACAAATATGGAAGCGAATATACAAGAGATTATAGACCTGGATCTGGGTAAAATTATAATTTTTAATATAACCGTAAACAAAATTTTATATTTTGGACATAATGTTAATATCATGTTTTCATATGTAGGCCACCACGTCCACCGACTCGTAGGTTAGGAAGACCTAACACAGGACATACCGTTGATATTCCATTTGGATGTAGTAGTTGTGCTAGATAAAATAAAGGCAAACCTTTACAACAGTAAAGTAATACCATTTAAAAATTTTTACGTGATTGCTATAATTATAACATGTTCAAAAATAAAATTACTTAAGAACTTGGAAATTTTTATAATGAGAAGATAATGGGCAGACATCTTGAGAATAATTTTATTAAATGTATTAGATTATTTTTAAAAATGTTATAAATCATTATAAATATATCACACATTAAACATGCATTAAAAAAATAAATGAACTTTCTATTGCAAATTAATTTGTATGTACATATATATAATTACAAATTTATAGATACGGTATTATGTTAAGTCTGGTATATTTCCTGCAATATACAAATATGTAGTTATATGCACATAGCTGCAATATGTAAATACATAGCTGCACATAGTGATATTTAAAATTAAAAATGTGTTCATAGAATTAGGACTGCAAATACATAAATTTTTTATATTATTGTTATTTGATTTTTGTAATTAGACCAGCTGCAATAGTAGTTCCTTCTACACGTAACATAATTCTACCCAGTTGTTTGATATCCTTATATAATTCCATACAAACTGAATTTTGTGTTGTAATCTCAATAATAGCACTTGAATTTTTTGGTAAACAGCGTGGTTTCTTTTTTATCATTTCACCAGTACTCCTATGAAGCTGCGCTACTAATTTTGTAATAACAGCTGGTTGAACTAAAGATTGTTGATGAATTATTACAGGAAGACCTTTCATAATAGGTATTTTCACTGCAAATACAACAACATGTGCTTGGAAACGTGTTGTTACAGGAACTGGATTTTGAGGATTACAAATAATATCTCCAATCCCAACGTTTTGTTGATCAATTCCAGATAATATTAAAGAAACTTGATCTCCAGCAAATGCGTTTGTTATAGATACTTCATCTATTTGTAAACCTAAAAATTAATGTCACAAACTTTAATTGCAGGTATCCAAATATATATAAGAAAATCATACATGATTGACATACCTTTAATCACTGCAGTTTCATTTCGCGGTAATACTAGAACTTTATCACCTAAAGCTACCATGCCTGTTTCTACGTGACCAGACACACAGAATCCAGATCCTGTGCCTTTAAATATATCGTTAACCGAAAATCGAAATGGTTTATCTATATGGCGTTCAGGACACTTGAAATTATTAATAACGTTGACTAATGTAGGTCCTGTATACCTGCATGATTATACACAATCACAATTAATACATTATTTTATTTTAAACATATATGTTTTAAACAAATATTTAAATAATTATACCAATTAGATAAAGGTTCTTTAGGCTTTGTTAATATATTTTCACCAGATAGACCACTACAAGGAACAAAAGTAACATTATCCTTGAACCCAGCTTGTTTCAAGAATACACTCATTTTGCTTACTATTTCATCAAACCTCTCCTTTGACCAGTCTACTGTATCTAATTTATTTATTACTACTGTCAACTGTGATATACCTGTAACAAAAATTAGTCATTGTTGGGAAATTGAATAATTTCTCAATTCCACGTGAAAAATTTGAATACCTAATGAACGTAATAATAGTGCATGTTCTCTAGTTTGACCTCCACTGTCAAAACCAGTTTCAAATTCTCCTCTAGTAGCATCTACTACTAACAAAGCTACATCAGCTTGAGTAGCACCAATAATCATATTAGGTATGAAATCCTTATGCCCAGGTGCATCTAATAAAGTAATACATTTTGTTTCTGTTTCAAATTTAGAATGACCAACATCCATAGTTATTCCACGTTCCCTATTAGAAGAATATATAGAAATCAATTAATATTAAAAGAGTCTATTGACTTCGTTTCCATTAATTACCTTTCTTCTCCTGTTTCATCAAGGACCCATGCATAAGCAAATGATTGTTTCCCTATTTTTTTACTTTCTTGTTGATATTTGTGAATTAATCTTGTTGGAACTTCTCCTAACTCGCATAAAAGTCGTCCTAATAAAGTACTTTTACCAGCATCTACATGACCAACCACAATTAAATGTAATTGTTCCTTGCTGTCTCCTCTTTTATCTTTATAAATCTTTGCAACATCTTTTTCTTCGTTGAATTTTATTTTAGGATCCAAGTCAGGTGTCTGATGTCCTGATACTGGGGACTGACATCGCGGGCTATTTGCGTTCGAGAAAGCTGCTCTTTTTTCCTTTGAAACTATATTTTCCTTTCTTTTTACTTCTGGACTATTATAATCAGAATATGGGCTTTGAGAGCGAGGACTCTCAGTACGGGAATTCAGTAGATCAGTATTTTCAGTCCCGCTTATATTAAAGCCTTTTACAACAGATCGTTTCCCAGCGGGAATAATTTTCACATTGGAAGGTGTTGTAGCTTGAAATGTATATTTGGATGACAATTTTTTACCTATCATAAAATTTATTGTAGGCTATTGTTATTTTGATATTAAATATAAAAAGATGTGTAAAAATTTTAATATAAACATATATTATATTAGTTCAAATATTAAAAATACATTTTGAGTTTAAAAATTCACAATTTTCGCTTTAAAACTTCGGAAACAATATTTACATGAAAATAGTACTTTACAGTAAATATATATAGTCATATAAGTAAAAGGAATCGATTTTTAATATATCATATTACGTCATCTTACATATATATCAATTGTGACTTTTCATATATATATATATATGTATACGTATATATTCATAAAATTTATAATTCAACCTTACATTCATTGAAATATTTAATTATGACATTTTTTACCACAGAAACTTTGCATCTAATTCTAAATCTGTATGTTACTATATATTTTGTTAAATACGAGTGTAAGGAACTGAAAAATTAAATCTTTTTATTGTTTTATGATGTTCTTGTTGAGATTTAAGAATTGGCTTTTTCAATTTCAATGTTCTGCACAATGTTCTACCAAATAAAGATACGTTTTTTTTGGTATATGGAAGTTTAACATATCTAAGATAACTTAAATTTAATTTTGTAGGTAGCATAACATATGGAATTTCAATATTTTCATTAGAAATCTGTAAGGTTGAAATAGGAATGACGTCGTGAATGTCTTCTAATACTTCCGATTTTGTATGACAATCACCATTTGTAGCTAAAAATGTGTTTTTTTTCAAAGTAGAATTTAAATCAATGATCCAAGGATCTGGTGATGGTGTTCGAGTACCACTTACATTTAATACTGGGTCATTTTGTGACTTTTCACTTTGCGAGTTACTTTCAATAATAGTGTTAGGATAATCTTTTGAAAAGGCAAATGCACTAAATAAACTTTGTTCAAATGAATCCATAGAATCATCTGTCTTTCTATCATTTAATATACTACCATCTATATCTTTTTGAGCAGTAGGTAAATCTAACTGTGTATTATTTATATCACTACAGTCATCTTTCTTAATTGATAATTTTGGTATTATAAAATTTGTCTTAGGCGACAAACTTTTTTCGCTAGAATTTGAATTATCAATTAAACTGCTATTTTTTCGTAAATGATGTGCTGTTAAATCAGCTAAGGTTTTGAATGCTACTGAATCCGAATTATTTTTGAAAGATGTAGAACTTGACAATGGGGAATTAACAAGATTACTAAACCCAGACAAAGAGGAAAATCTCATAGGAGAGTTACTAATAGCTAAGTCTTTGAAACTTTCTAAATTATTCATGAGACATACATTCTCGTTAGTACCTTCAATATTCTCTTGTTTGTTAAATGATAATTTAGGTATAATGAATGAATTAGACTGAGGCTTAACAGATGCAGCATCTTACCTTACCAATGGATGCAAAGACAATACATGAAACAAAAAAATTATAGGTTAAGAAATAATACTATGAAGTTATTTACTAATAAAAATATTATAATGTTGATAAATGATATACCTGGGTATGGTTCTAAATTATCCTTATTAACCATAGATGAACCTAAAATAATTAAATTACTTTAAAAAATATAAAAGGAATACTAAAAATATACATATATATATATATAATACACATACCAGTAGCAGTTTTTGGAGAAGATTCTTTTAATATTAAATCAAGGGCTATTTTAACATCAAAATTTGATTGAATAATTTTCTTTTTGATCTCAGAGTCAGGTACTGTGTCTCCTATAACATTTTTTATAGGTTCCATGCATGACATGAGCTTGCCCAATTCGATGTCTGTAAGTGTTACATTTTCATCGTTGAAAGATACTGGAAGTTCCTCATTATCTTCGTTGTCTTCTATAATATCTGGTTCCGTAATAAAGGATGCAATATTTTGTTGCTTACTTCGATCAAATAAAAATTGTTCAGCTGCAATTTAAACCATGAATATTTAACACCACATTAATTGCATAAAATCTGATACGTTGAATACATATTTAACAGAAGTACCACTAGGAGATACACAGTAGTCATCTTCTACAGAATGTCCATAGACATCATCGTAACCTTCGTATTCTGTAAAGAATATGTTACGTTAAATAAACTCTTTAAGTTTAATCAACAGTTTAACAATATTTAAATAAATAAAATTATCGTGCATTTGTTTTCTTTTCGTGTACCTTCTGAATAATTCATGCATCGTACATCGCGATGACGAGACATTTTATAAACTTTGTGCAAAAGATTGCAATAAAAATACGATAAAAAGATAGCCTTTTCTACTTTATTATTTATAATCTTCCATGTTACACAGAATAGATTCAGCTACAGCCACGGTTTATGTGACCGTGAGGTAAGCTAAATTCCGCCATCTACATTGACAACGTTTAACAAAATAACCGAATTTTCATATGTTATCCGATATTATGTTAATTACGCATAGTATATTCATCGCGTGGATATAATTTCACTAATGTATTATCACTAACATTATCAGTAACATATTTTACTTAAACTGTCTTTTACTTTCGTTTAAAAAGTATAAATAGCGTAACATGTATTAATACCAGTCAGTATATGTAAGTATATGAGCCTCATTTATAATTGCATGATTCTTTTTGTCGTTATTTCAACAGAAAATAATATTTTTTATAAAATATATACTATTTTATATTAAACTAAATAAAATTAAGAATATACTAGTATTATCTGGTATTACATAGAACATATACATCATAGAATGCATAGAGAATAAGAATAAAAATATGTTAATATTCTTGATATCAATTTTAATCTCAGAGAAGTATAGTTATATCATTTTTATTTTATTTATTTGCTTATATACATAGTTATCTAAATATTAAAATACTTCAAATATTTTGCAAATTTGACTCAAATTAACTAGTATTCAGATAAATAAACTTTGAATTTGAAACATAGAATATTAAAAGCAGACTGTAAACTTATCAAAATTAAAGTAATAAATTTTGAGCCACTTATAATGGTGTCAAGCCACGCCCATGAGATAACATTCCTGGCTTATTGTACATATATATACTTGCAGGAAACAAGTTTAGTTCTTTCATTGCTGATTGAAGATCATTTTAATCATTTTGGGAGATATATTTTAACATAACAGACAAAAAAGATGACTTCAGAACTTCCATCTACATTAAAACATCTATTTAGGTATATATTTCTATATAAATATTTAACTTATTTTATAATATAGGATTGATATAATCTTGGTATTTATTTCATTTCTAGTTATATTGATGATCATAAAACAGAGTACATAAATGACTTAAAAGAAGCAGTAGCTATAAAATCTGTCTCAGCGTGGCCAGATCACAGAAATGAAATAATTAAGATGATGAAATGGGCGGAAATGAAATTAAAAAATCTTGGAGTCACTACAGAATTGGCAGATGTAGGAAAACAAACTCTTCCAGATGGAAGTGTAATTCCTCTCCCACCTGTTTTGTTAGGAACTCTAGGGTCTGACTCTGAAAAAAAGACTGTTCTTATATATGGACATTTAGATGTTCAACCAGCATTAAAAGAAGATGGCTGGGATACTGAACCATTTACTCTTGTTGAGAAAAATGACAAATTATATGGACGTGGAAGTACAGATGATAAAGGCCCTGTACTTTGTTGGATTCATGCATTACAGGCTTATAAAACTATTGGAACAGATATCCCTGTTAATCTCAAGGTATTTTTAATTGTAAATTTTCTATATGTTTTCTATATGTTAATATATTTCTATATGTTGATTTATTCAATTATAAACTTTCTATATGTTATTTTGCAATTTCATTTATTATATATTTCTTTATTGTTTAATTGTTGTAGTTTGTCTTTGAGGGTATGGAAGAAAGTGGTAGTGAAGGATTAGATGACCTTCTTTTAGCACGAAAAGATACATTTTTGCAAGGTGTAGATTATGTGTGCATATCTGATAATTACTGGCTGGGCACCAAAAAACCTTGTATTACGTATGGCTTAAGAGGTATCTGTTATTTCCAAGTGGAAGTAACTTGTGCTGTTAAAGATCTACATAGTGGTACATTTGGTGGATCTATACATGAAGGAATGGCAGATTTAATATATTTGTTAAATACATTAGTTGATGTAAATGGGAAAATTTTAATAGATGGTATTTATGATAATGTAACAAAAATTGTGGAAAAGGAAATAGAATCCTATAAAACAATAGAATTCGATGTTGCTGAATTCAGGGGCTCTGTTGGAACTAGTAAATTAGCTCATGAAGATAAAGTAAATATTTATAATTGAACTTACTACTGATATATTTTATACATTATTACATATATAGTTATACATTACATTATATTATATTGTTAGATTCAATTATTGATGCATCGGTGGAGACAGCCCAGTTTATCACTTCATGGAATACAAGGCGCATTTAGTGAGCCAGGTGCAAAAACTGTTATTCCAGGAAAAGTTATTGGTAAATTTTCAATTAGAATAGTACCAAATATGACTCCAGAAGATACTGTACAAAAAGTAACAGCATATCTAAACAAAAAATGGGCTGTCAGAGGTAGTCCAAATAAATTCAATGTCAGTATGTATCATGGAGGAAGAACTTGGTCTGAAAATCCTGATCATCCAAACTATGTAGCTGGTCGAAAAGCTACCAAACATGTTTATAATGTAGAGCCTGATTTATCACGCGAAGGAGGCTCAATTCCGGTTACTTTAACATTCCAAGAAGTAACAGGCAAAAACGTACTACTCTTACCAGTTGGTGCTGGTGACGATGGGGCACATTCCCAGAACGAAAAACTGAACATTCGTAACTATATCGAGGGCGTAAGTATTTTCATTGACGATGGTATAATTTGTTGTAACAGTTTTACTTAAACTTAAGGATATTTTATTTTTGGTTTAGACTAAATTACTTGGAGCTTATTTGTACGAGATAGCTCAACTGTAAGGTACATATATATTGAAAACATAAGTAAAATATGGGTTTATATTGATGTACTCAAGAATTTATTTTCTTCTTACAATACAATATACAAATAAAAATTTGGAGGGAATGGAAGTTATAAAACGCTATTTTGCGACTTACATGTATCTTTTTTCTCAAGTGAATACAAAACATCTTTAATAAAATATATATTTAGATATCATTGTTTCTGTTATTCTGGTTTTATTTTCAATACCCAAGCTGGTTGTCCTTTATCAAGTTCTGCTGGTAATGATACAATCAATTTTTCTTTACTTTGTTTCCACTGAAATTGAAAATTGAAGTTATTATTTTATCCAATTATATTTAATATTACTATTTGTGTAACATGAATTTAATATCTATTCAAAACGTAGATACGTACTCTAATTAGTAATTTAGATCCAAGTACTGAAATTTGTGTACTAGGAGATATTTTAAGCGATCCTAAATATAATAAACCTTCATTTGGCCATTCAAGGATTATAGCATAAACTTGTTTTATGTTTTTGCTTTGTGTATACCAAACGGTATTAGATAAAGTATCATTTTGTGTTATCCAAGGTTTGGTATTGTAAATAGCTTCTCCATTTATCTTTAACCACTCACCTAATTGCATAAATTATATTAGGAACAAATTTACAATTACAAATACAAATAAGTACATTCTTATGTTGGAGAATATACCCATTCCACGTAATCTTTCTTCGAATATTGGGTTAATAATGCCATCCTTTGTTGGTCCAACATTCATTAATAAGTTTCCTCCACAACTTACAGTAATTGCTAATTCTTTGACCAATTCTGATAAAGTCAAATATTCTGACAAAACAGCATTCCTACGAAATCCCCAAGATTTTCTATCAATTGTCATGCAGTTTTCCCATTTATGTGGTAGAAGTACTCCTAAAGATCTCAAAATACAAGTGAAATAAAGAAGCAATATAAATTTCAAGCATGTATGTTAGTTATACTAAATTGAATTTACCAGGATTATAACGATCAGAACATGTGTAAAAATCACCATGATGACATGGTATATTTTGTCCCCATCTATCATTTACTACAACTGTATCTTTCACAGGACTTTCATTGTACAACCAAGCCAAAAATTCTTTTGATTTCCAATAAACATCTGGTGCTTCCCAGTCACCATCAGACCATACAATTTCTGGTTTATATTTTTCTACTACTTCGTGTAATTCAGGAATTATCTTTTGACGAACAAAAATTTGGGTTGTAAAATTGTTATCTTTATCAGATAAATATAGAGGATTATACCATTCATACAAAGAATGGTAAAGACCAAATCTCAAATTAGTTGAATTTCTTATTGCTGTAGCCAATTCACCTAAAAATCATTAATTACAGATACAAAATAATTTAAACAGTAAAAAATTCAATTTAATAATTACCTATAAGATCTTTTTTTGGTCCTACATCTGCAGAGTTCCAACTAAACGAATATTTTGAAGGCCATAATGTATATCCCTCATGATGTTTGCTTGTTAATACAACATATTTTGCACCTGAAGCTTGAAATAATTCACTCCATTGCGTTGCGTTAAAAAATTCAGCAGTAAATTCATGAGCGAAGTCTTGATATGTAAAACTAGGCGGATACCTTTGTTTCATAAAGTCACGGTATTTAGTATCAATCTGTTCTTCTGAAAATGAAAGTTTGTCTTGAATTCTTTATAAATTTATATCATTTTGCAAAAAGTAAAGAATTTTGACTGAAATAAATAAATAATAATATAAATTTGGTTGTAATTAATAGTAATAGTGATAAAAATACCTTTCCAATTATTCCAAAACCATTCAGAGCCAAAACTAGGAACACTAAAAACACCCCAGTGAATAAAGATACCAATTTTTGCATCATCATACCAAGTTGGAAGCGGACGTCTATCTAAACTATCCCATGTTGGAGAATACTGGTTTATTGCTGTTTTTATAGGCCAAAGTGTTTCATGGCTTTTTATATCTGACGTTTCTAATACATATTGATCTCTCCCCCACGTTGTATATATCATTGAGGAAATGAATAAAATGTAACTTTGTAAAATCATTGTATTGCACAGTATTTATACTATTTACTGCAAATAAATTATGAAAAATATTTACACAAATATTCATACTTTATCACATAAAAGATTAAAGATTAAGGTGGAAACCCGCTTATCGAGTCTGATTTCATTTAATTTATGATAAGATTGAATAACATGAATTAATTAATTTTTTTTATTTGTCAAATTTGTTGTTTCATTATAAAATATGTTAAAATAATTGATATAGATATAATATATAAGTGATATATGAATTATTTCTGAATATAAAATCAATACTTAAAATAAGGACGATAAATGTTCATAAAATTACCCTTTGTTATGTTTTTTAAAAATCTTATAAATATATTTTATAAAATAGAGAAAAAATATTCATTTTGATATACGCTTCTGACATATGTACATAGTATGTAGTCGTTGATATAAATTTCATGAAATAATCTGATTTTATTAAACCGGTAGCCATGTTGACTACTGCAGACAAATGAAAAATTTAAAAAAGTACATTGAACCATAATACTAATAAAGTAAGCTATGAACAAAACAACTAAATATTTTGTTATTAATTATTCTATTATAAGTTCATTTTAATATTGATCTTATCTACTGCCCAATAATGTGTCATCAAATTGTGTCAATGTCACAGGATTTCGGCAAATTCGTCTGAGTGTGATAAATTGATAACAACATTAAAATTTTGCACGTATAATACGGCAAATACGCTTTTGTGAATTTATAATATCTGTTGTAAGTAATCGTTTTCGTAAAAATTCTTTTTGAAAAGTATATACAGCGAATTAGAAGTTAGAATATGAAACTTTAAATTTGCCGATATCTTTTAGAATCAACAAAATTCATCATGTCATCTTGGATTCCGATGGAATCTAATCCAGAAGTAAGAATTTGTATTTTCATCGTAATCATTAAAATGAAAAATATATATATATAATATCTTTTTACATAATTTCATTTCTTTGTTTTAGGTTATGACAAAGGTAAATCATAATGATTTTCCATTATTGATATTGATATTTAATCTTGTAATTATATTATAAATAAGTCTTACATTTTATTTAAAGATTAAAGACAATACATCTATTTATGTATTAAATGATTTATTTATATTATTGTAAAGTAAACTTGTTAATAATTTTGTAGTTACTAAACTTTATAATTCAAAGATTTGTTTTACAGTTTTTACATAAATTAGGCGTAGCAAAAGATTGGTCTGTTGTTGATGTTTATGGTCTGGAACCTGATCTGTTGGCACTTGTACCTAAACCAGTTGTTGCTGTTATTTTGCTATATCCTTTATCCAAAAAGGTTTCAAAATAAAGATTATATTATTACATTTTATTACATAAAGATCGTAGATCTAATAATTTTATGTGACTTAGGGTGATAATAGCTTAGAAGACAAAGAATCAGAAGAAGAAGATGTAAGTATTCCTAAAGATCCAGAAGTTTTTCATATGAAACAGTACATTCATAATGCCTGTGGTACAATCGCATTAATTCACAGTGTTGGCAATAATCGAGACATGTAGGTATTTCGTTAGAAGTACAGAATATTCATTTGTTTTTCAACAGACATTATATGTTGTAAATTGTTCAATTTATTTTTGCAGCATAGATCTTCAGGACGGTTTCCTAAAAACCTTTTTAGATGAAGCGAAAAATCTTTCTTATATGGAATGTGGGAAGCTTTTAATGGAGTCCGACGGTATTAGTATCACTCATAAAGATGTGGCACAAGAGGGTCAAACAGAGGTATGATTTTCTTGCTTTTTGTGTACTTACAGAAATGAGTACTAATCGAAAGTATTTGGTAGGTACCAAGCGATGAAATACCAGTGTACCATCATTTTGTAGCACTTATACACAAAAATGGAGTATTATATGAATTAGGTGAAAATTTTAATACTGCTGTATATACTTATATAATTATTTACTTAGTAAATAATTGTATAAATACTAATCTATAAGAATATCATATTATTTACATATGGGATTTTTTAGATGGACGTAAACCTTCTCCTATTAATCATGGTACAACTAGTCCAGAAACACTGTTAGAAGATGCAGCACGTGTTTGTAAAGAATATATGGCTCGTGATCCAGAAGAAGTGTGTTTCACAGTTCTTGCTCTTGCTAATAGCGATGCAGGAGCATTGTAACTCACTAAATACAATGTAGCATATCCATTTTAAGATAACTGTTGAAATAATTTATTTTATACATTATACATGTATATCTGCTTTTTATATTGCATTTATTAACATTTGCTTATTACTGTATAATATGGATATTCGCGATATAAGTACGTATCAAATGTAAAACATATCTATTTCATCGAATGATAAAACCATAAAAAATAATTAAAATCGCATAAAAGCGAAACTTCAATAGTTTTATATCTTTTATACTAATTTTATTATATCATTTTTTTATACTATTTTTTGACGAATAAATGTGACGCAAATATTTTCATAAATTTTGACTAATAAAATATGAATATAAATATATATATATATATATATATATCACTATCAATAAGTATATATCAATCTTATAGTAGTAGTTGTGTGATAGTTGTTTGTATCGCTGTTTATAAATATTCGCTCTAAGCAACTAAAAATATGTGTATCTGTACTTGCTATACTTATTAAAAATGTCTTTTCTAGAAAAAACGAAATGCATCTAGTATTCAAGTTTATTATACAATAATTCCTACTTCTATGTCAACTATTTTTAAAATTAACATTATTATAAAAAATAATTTGTACAATTTAATTATCTTTAAAAGCTTAGATTGTTCAGCTTTCTACGTTGTATTATCATGTTAATGACTCATGTATTTCAATAAAATTTTTCCAAAACCTGGATGTAGATAAATAATTGTTTTTGACCTAGCAAACCATTGATATCGTGGATAGATGTTTACGACAATCAACGTGTATACGAAGTACGTGTATACAAAACATTTGATAATCCTGTATAGTTAATATATTTTTGTTTTGTCTATTATCTGAGGTCGAAAAACCTGTCGGTCACTGACCAGAACCTAGTAAAAGGCCTAGTTATTTTAGATCCTCCTCTGAAAGTGAGCATCTTGGCTCCACTCTCTAAATAGTAGTCTAAAAAAACACGAAATAGATCCGTGATTGATTGTTTATTTACTATATCTTCCTATTTCTTGCATGATATGTTAAAATTATAAATAAAACGGGGGACAAAAACTTAAAAAATAACATCGCTGTAAATTATTATCGCTTTGATTCGAAATGAAGTAATTGAAGAATGTATACAAAATGAAGATATCGATAACAAACGATTAGTGTGCATTAGTCATTATTAGTCATCTTAGTCTGTTTTAGGAAAAATTTTGCGGTGGAAAATTTTCTACGATCACCGAATCGTTTGATCTTTTTATGGGAAAAACGATACATAATGTCCAATAAATTTCTCAATATGTTGCGAAGGACGAGACGATGCACATTTTCTTTCATACCGGCTAATTCTTTAGCGACCCTATTACGTAAGGATGTTTCAATTGTGAACGATATAAGCGTGCTGTGTAATAATTAAAAAATATATCAAGAGTGCACAATAGAAATAACCTATTAAAGTAAGGAGTCTCGCATTGTTCTTTATTGGTTTTTTTTTCGAAATTTTCCTTTAATTATTTTCAATAGACGATAGATAAAGAAAAAAAGTAATCACTGCACAATATATTGCACAACTTTTTGGTTATTAAATTAGAAATTGCAATTACTTTGTTCTTTTAAAGGATGATCAACGTCGAATTAATTTCCAAGGCAAAAACGATTCGGGAATCCCCAATAAGGAATTTCCAATCGGAGGTAACAGGATCTTATTACACTTGTACAAATATAGAATTCGATAGTGGTAGGCAAAGAATTCTATTAGTTCAACTCGATTTACTTGAACAAGCGCTACGTCATTGGAATGGAAAATTTGGAACGAAAAGATAGAAAGATAAAGCGTATTTCTTGCAGAGCTGGAAAAATAGGTCTTTCCTGACAAAAGGTACATGTCTCGTTCATAGACCATAAAAATAATAAAAATAATAATGGATCTAGGATTTACAAAATCGAATTTAAAGTGGAATAAAACTTTAAAATGGGACGTATATACGTATAAACAAACAAAAACGCTATCAATACGTTATCAATAAAAGTATGATCGATATACGCATACCAAGCGTTATCACTTGAAAATGTAATATTAACATTAATCTGTCGAATGACTGATGCGTGAGTGATGACTACTTCTACATTTTCATAAATAATAGCTTTTTTCCAATTCCACGACAATTGTACATAATACTTTCACCGATAAAATGTGAATGATAAAACGTGTAGGTTGACTTTTTCAAGCTACATCGTATATCAGTATCATCGATAAAATTCTCAACGAAGACAATTTATTAAATCTGCATGGTCAAGATATAATCGGACAGTAAAGTAGCTGCATCGCATTATCGCTTTGACAGTGTCATATTGTAAAACTATTCTATACAGGAATTCTATCTGATCGAGTAAGTATAATTCATTAATTGTAATAAGACTGATAGTTTCCGAAGAATTTCCAAGTTTAGGATAATTTTTTTGAGATTGATAATTCGCGAGGAATTATTAAGAAACATTTCCCTTTTGCGTTCTAAGTTTAATCCTTTGTCGATGTAATTTATTAAAGGTATAACAAATAATTTTATCTTTGTTTAATTTTTTGTTTTAGGAAAATTACGTATTATATAAGACAAGGATAACATACATTTAGGGTATCAACGAAACTTTTATTCACGAATGTTCATATTTTTATGAACATAACTAACAAAGATGCAACTTGACAAGACATTTGTTTATCCATTACGTATTATAATATATTTGCGATATTTTATATATTTTTGCACGTTATACGCATTTTGTGCATTTCTGTACTTCCAAAATTCCCTATAAATGCATAAACGGTCGCAATTCTACGACAAGCGTGCTATTATTTCACTTTAGGTTAGGTATCTCATTCTCCGCTTCAACATAGTGTCCGTTAGATTCTAATAACACAGTCAACTATCAAAGTCTCAGAAATTAACGAAACATGTCATGCACAGGTACTTATATTATGCATTCGTCCATGGCTGGTTGGATTTAAGGTCGTCCCACGCCCATAAAAATGTTATTATACGTGTACAGCCTCGTTTCTGCCTACCATAGTCTGTATATCAGGTACGAGAAGATACAGTTGGACAAATTATTCGTTAAACGAATGTGACTGATATATCGATAAATCCTTGCTGCAGACACAAGCAAACCAGTTTGATCCTCTTATCGTAGATATTTTATCGAGTGGATAGAAAAATTAGGAAACGTTGGGAAAGAGAGAAATAATTCATAAAGGTATGTTTTATTACTACACAAAGATGAACACGCGATGCTACGCTGATAGTACTTGAAGGCATTCTAATACATGATAAGAGCGTAATAGGAACTTGGATTGGTTATTATTCGCACGCAAAGTGGTAATCCAACGTGATTATATCGCACGCGATAGCTCAGGCGAACATTGAACCAGCTAAAAAGGTTCTTCTGGAGGTCGAAGAGTCCTTAAAATTTGTATTCGTGCCGCAAGTATTATACTGTGCATATGTGGTTTACAATACCGAAGAAGATGTTCATGAGCTCGCAGAATCCTTAACGAGATCGTTTTTTTTATTTTCTGTTTGATTCGGTATAAATTCGGCGATTAACTCGAATTTTTATATAACAGCTAAGGGATGAAAATTCGTAACGCTTCGTCATCGAAGAGATACGAACTTAAATACAAAGTTTTTAAAAAATATAAATTTCCAAACAAATTAGGAATGAAAGAGTAAATTCCTTGGTAAAAGAACGAATTCTTAATTCGCAGATCTTAAAGTACGGATTTCCGAGAAAACCAAATCCGATATATCCGATCGATGAAACCTTTTCGAAAATCTTCGATTAGAAATTTCTCTAAACTAATACGCGGAACACTTGCACGACGATTTTTCTAAATCGATACTAGTAGGACAGAAACTGTTAACGGAAGAAGTGGAAAATCAAACGCTATTAGAAGATCAATTCCAACGGGACCAATAATCGATAAGATCTTTTGGAACGTCGTAAATTATAAATTTCCGAAAAATATTGCGAATCCGTAGAACGCGAGTGTTTAGAGAACGAAAAGTTGAACGAAAACAAACAATTTCTTAATATCTCGATTTAACAATTTTACAAATGTGCCCTGATCCCTCGATATGTCGATCCCTCAATTTCCTAATTTCTTCGGTCATCACGATGTTTCCGAGAAATTCGAATCGCTCGAGATAAAATATCACAAACGTATAGAAACGTTAGTTCGATCGAGGCAGGCTATTCGAGCATGTTTATGGGTCAGAATCACGTAGACGCGAGAAAGAAATCTGACCCTGACTTGATCGAGGTGTTCCGGAAGCAAATTTTCCAGTGGTTGAATGTCTTCATCGACCCCGGGCAGGCTGATAAGCGCGTGTATACAGAGTATGAATGTATACACAGACAGAGTTCGCGCCATCACGGGCGAAATTCAGCAGCCGTGAGCATTTCGCTGACGATGATAGGCAAGAATGACACCGGTTGGGAGACAAGCAGCGGCAAAGAGTATTAGCAAGTAGCGAGCGGTCTTTGGTGGTTGGTTCGAGCGTTCTCAGTAGCACGACTCCGTTTCAGTCGCGCGGAAGCAGCCGACCGTTGCACGTGTTCACGGACCGGACGATAACCGCCACCATCTATGGGTTACCAGTACCCATTCTCACATCTGGATACTTTGAATTGACCACGAGAAAGTGAGTACCGGTTCTTTGTCATCTCTTCGTATGTAAACTGTCGGTTATAAGTATCAGGACATTTAAATTCTCTTCTACGATAATCGATCAACTGATAGAATTTGACAAGTTGCGAGTAGTAGGTCATAGATCTTTCGTAAGTTTGTATAGCTTTAATTTTTCTTATTTCGTATATTATTTATCGTATGTTATTGCTACCTTTTTTTGTTGTTGTTATTTAATGTTATTTAACGTAGCTTTTAGTCGACTGAGGTAAAATCACTCTAGCGTGATGATAGTTTGTCAAGTAGCAATATTAGTGAATCGAGTTTCAATAGTTATCGGTACAAGTTTCCGGTTGTAGATCGTAGATTCCTTTTTTATGAGTTTATTAATTCCTTCTG